GAAAATTAAAGAAAATCTTACGGCAATCGGAAAGGCACAAAGACCATTTTTCCATCCATTTCGTGAATGAATAGCATTTGTAAAAAATTCTATTATTTTCATGCTTACAACGACAAACAATTCATTTGTTAAATAAGTGGAAGTCTAGGTTTCTCAAAGTCATACTGCAAAAAGATCTGCGTCTGTATTCATTCCTTTGCTGCAGTATCGGTGAATACAATTGTCAGGTGGATTCCTTGGCCAAAACACGTGATTACGAGTATATTTAGTCTGACAATAGATTCCGATCTTTATTTCAATTTGTTTGACTTTGAAGTGCAAATAGCTCTCACCATAGGCTGAATTTAAATCCCAAGGTTTATGCTTCCATCGTGTTTACTGTCGACCGTGTTTGTCTCTGAATTTTCCCTCCTGTAAACTTCCGGTGATCATCACGCACGTGGCGCATCGTGTTACAAACATGTGATACACAATATATTGTCAATTATTCTATACTAGTATTTATCCATCTTTGGTAACGTACGTATAAGTGAATTAAGTATTTCCTGGCTGTTTAATAGGATGTGTAGTTTTTACATGTAAATATTGTGAGTGAGCTGCAATTTTTTAACAATAAAACTGTGTTATCGGCAAACATGTTAGCATTATTAACAGAGTCTGACACGTTTATGTACTTATGGTAAGACGTAAAACGTATTTAATTTCGAAAATACAACCAATTGAGTATTTTTAAATGCATATTCCTTGTTTGAAATTAATTCGATGAAATCAAATATCAAATCCGTTTTAAAAGTGTCTATAAGTTGCCTACTGTCTGTTTTGAGTAAAAATTAAAATTCATTTGCATGAATAAAATATTTGAGTTCAGTTATATAATGTTGTTACGTAGGTATCAAACATCGCGACAATTACATGCTGCAAAAAGTTGACAAACATATGGTTTAATATAAGTTTCAGTGATCATTTATTAACTGAATACAATGTGCAATAAATCCAAGTAATTGAGAATACACGCCTTTTAAGTTCAAATGGTTTAATTCTGCCCTACTTCTGGTGTATTAACCCAGCTTTAGTAACGAATGTATTGTTTCAGTGTATTTAGAGACGTACTTCACTTGAGTTCTTAATATTTGTATGTGTTTAATGGCCCGTGGTATATGTTTACTTGGCCATACTTAAGGTATACCTTTACTCAGATAACCAAAAATTCCACTGATAAGAACGAAAAACCACCTATTGCACATTGTACACCAATGATTCTTGTGTTGAATTTCAGTTTCAAATAACTAGGTCAATGACCTACTTTTCATGCTAGTGGCCCCTGAGTATTTCTCGGGAAATACCTCAATTTTTCACACTATGACCAATTTTTTCTATACACACAAAATATTACAAGCAGCTAAACTCTTTAAATAATGAAATATAATAGCAATGGAACAGCGTTGCTTCATATATAAAGAAATGATTGGAGTTTGGGCCAGAAATGTGATAATTATAACAGTCCGAATTTCCTCTGTCATATTTATATTTTTTCCCCATTTTAAATCGAATATTACAAAAATCTGACTGATAAGAACTCTAAACTTTCTATAGCCTTAGATTACTTTTGATGCCCTAATTCTCATGGTATTAATATTATATGGGGTCAACGATCAAATTATTGAGATATATTGTCTGGAATGGTTTTTGTACATATTTTTGAATTTCTTTATTTCGTAGCATTCAATTATTTGAAATAATTTATGAGCTTTAACATATATACTATTTGCAAAATGATGTTTAAAAATACATTTAACCTTTACTTCATGATTATTATCGAAAGAAATTAAAATTTTTGAGAAAAATGATAAATTTAGTCCGAATTTCCTCTACATTACCATATATTGACTTTTGTACCTATATATTTTCTTTAAATAATAAAATATTAAATTTTTAAATTGATTTCGATTTAAAACTTGCTTATTTTATCCATTTAGAATAATTTTTTATTTAACATATTGTACTTTATAAAATTTCCTTTCTGTTATCTGAAACCTGAGTAAACGTAATCCTTAAGAAATACCCAGTATGTTACGTTACTGAGTAACAAGTGCATGACATTAATTGCACATTATTACTGAGCAAGTGATCTCTACTTTTCGCCGTACATTAATGATATATATATTGTTATTTTACCCTTCCCCCCTTCAGCCATTTTTTTTTTTTGAAATTCATGAAAGTCTTTCAGAAGAGTCTGCAAACACATTTTTCAAAGGACACGTTTTCAAAAGAAACTATAGCAATTTCCATTTTACTGCCAATTTTATTTATTTTTCTACTGTAAGGCTATAACCTTTGAATAGGTCAACCTAAACGACGTGTCTTAAATATAAATCATAATAACAATAGGGGTGCCACGGACCAGACGATACATAGCTAATACCCATCAGCCAGAACAGATGGGTTGTCTGCTGGTGTTACGATTTAACTTAGTGACCCAAAAGAAAAAGGACACTGAAGTTTTGGGTAGAATGTACTATGTTCGATTGAATAGTACTTGTGCCTCGGTCAAAAGGTACGAGGTCATGACCTTCTATCTAGAGCAATTGATGTGGACCAATGCCTCAGTTAATAAGGACAAGATCATGACCTTCTACTGTATACAGGGAAATGTTCGCCCCTTTCATCCTCGTTGGAAGTGGGCGAATTTACAACGGGGCGAACTCAAAGTTAACAGTAAAATATCTTAAACAAATATCTTTCTGGGCGAATTTAAAACGGGGCAAACTTGTCTCCGAATGTGAAAGGGCGAAAATAACCCTGTATACAGTATCTAGAGCAATTGATGAAGACCAATGCTTCAGTCAATAGGGACAAGGTCATGACCTTAGATGAACATAGCAATGTAGCCCGGAAGCACCTCTACTTAGAATTGTATCTTATTAATATCATGGTTAATTTTTGTTAGAGTTTCATGTTATATTGTAATTCTTTTATGAGCATAAAGGGGGTTAAATATGATAAAACGCAATCGTCTTCTTTTTACATGAGATCAGTCTTCCTAATAATTTTATGTCTAAGAATATAAATATTAAGTTAGACACTCAGCCCGCAGACAGTACCTTTCTTAAAGTCGATGGTTTACCTACCTCATGCTTTCAGGAACCTTTTATTAAACTAGTCGTTTATATTGCCTTTAATCCCGTAACATCATATACGTAATCTGCAATGGATCTTATACGACGTATGTATTTATTTCCAGAATTATAACAGATAGGTTACAATGTATTAACTTTGAAGTTTGACAAGACAAGTCCTAACCCCCACTCCCCGAAAAGAGGAATCGCCAAAAACTAGTGAAGTATAGGTTATAGATTATCATGTCAGACAAGGATACAATATTTTGATGATTTATTTCTAAAATCTGCCGGCTCCCCTCCCCTTATAGAATCAGATAGTTCCCTTATTGCTTCTCGGTCATGAGTCATACACAACGGTTGAAGATTTGGAAACTTAAGTCTTATTTTCAGATAGTTCTAAAAATATTTCTTTCTTGTACCTGATTTAGTTATTAATATAAGGACATCAGGGATACTCGGTACTTTTACAAGGTAAAAGTGCACGACCTTAATACCAAGGAGATATAGTTATGAAGAAAAGAACGTCAAGAAGTTAATGAAAAAAATGTATTGACATTGACAAATGTACATGACAAGCATTTCCGGTTTATATTTGATAAGTAAAACGTTCATGTCGTGTTTCTTTTTAATTTCCATTTGGCAAAATCTTGAAAATAAAGCATATGAACGGTTTTATAAAGATTTTAGTATGCTCTCAGGTAGTTAGAGTAAGAAAAAAACAAGATGTGTTTGTGAAACACTATGCCCCCCTGGAGTGAGACGTATACTGAAGTGTTAATTGTGTTAATAAAAATCTTGCATATAATAATTATCAAATTGCTCGCTCTATCCAATGTTGATGCATAATTATCCGATTAATACAGACTAAATGAAAAAATTTTACTGCTGTTGTCTAATCACGTGCCCTACATCACAATACATATTTTAATATATTTTCGGTGTGACCGTTTGAGCGAGCGCAGTTGTACTATCAAAACCACTTGAAAACTTGATCAGCCACTTCAAACAGCAAACCGCACGAGACATCTCGACTAGCTTTGACGTCACGGAGCTCGTCGGAGCTTACGGAGACAGCCGAGCGTCTGGTTTAAAAACATTGCAGAGTTATTTTTTGTTTCTTTGAAAGACTTCTACAAATTGAAAGCCTTTTATGCTTTACGTTATTATTTATTTATTCGGGCAAAGGACATTGGGGAGTAAATGAATTCTAAGAATGTTTCACAGAGAAATTTGTCTGACGTATGTGAATATTTCATTCCGAATTTACTCTGTTCTAACACGTTAGTCTATTGAGGTCGCTTCGCAAGCGACGCTCGCTATTATTCTTTTTAAACTATGTCCAATTAAATTTTCTTGAAGTACAACATTCTTTAAAAACAAAATACCTCAATAAACAACGTAAAACACTGTAGTAGCTATATATGTAAAAGGAACGGATAAAAAAAAATTATTTATCAAACATCACAACATCGCCAGAAATGTTTATAAACAAAAACCACAGTGTAAATGAAATTCAAGAAGTTTACAATCACATGCAGCATTTTTCAGCGGATGTGAAGATTTCATTCCGAATACTGTTCTAACACGTTAGTCTATTGAGGTCGCTTCGCTTAGATCATACATTAATTACGTAGTATATATATAAATCTGTGTAAAATCATGTCACATTCAAATTCTTAAAAACTTTAATTACTTCTTTTTGTTTATCAATTATTTTTCTTCGTCTACCAATATTATAGTTTTAAAGGATGAAAAACATAATACTATGATTTATAAAGTAAAACACTGCAGTCACTATAAATATACAAGCATAAGGTATGAATTACATAAAATGCTTGTACATCAAAATATCGCAGCATTTTCAGACATATTTATATACCAAAAACTATAGTGAGAATGAATCTCAGTAAAGTTTACAATGACATAAAAAATTTGCCAGCTGATGTTTGATTTGTTTTTAGTTCGTCAAGTGAAGTTGATCACACACTCTATGCGCCATTATTCTCTGGAATTTTTGTCGAAGTTCCTGTTTCTTTATTTTCTTCTCTTTTTTCTCTAAAAAGGCAATCGTGTACAATTATTAATTACTTTTTTCAAATCGGTGTCTTAAAATTATTCAAAAACAAAAAAGATACCTTTTATACAAAACATGTTTGTGAAAATCAACATTACGCATTACCAGCAAGTCAACAACCAGAATAAATTTATTGAAAATATTATTTTTAAGTTCTAAGTAAATTTTTCTATTAATGAGACACCCCTGCAACATAAATGAACTAGCGAAATGTCCAACGTCATCATCTTCTTTGTCTTTATATACTAGTTTATAAAAAGATGGGGCTCTTTTGATTGTATAGTGAAAATGTATAAATTCTTTAAAAAACCTCTCTTCTGCTCCTGGATATTAAATCAATGAACTATGTACATAGCAATGATGAAGAAGGATGTTTCTTCCCAATTTGTGAATTTCAGGGCCCCTGGATGAGGGGTTTTGGTGTTAGGGCGGAGCTCAAATGATTATATAGTAAAAATGCAAGAATTCTTTGGAATTATTTTCCTTGCTCCAGGGTATAATGCCAATGATCTTAGTACATATTTATGATGAAGAAATGTGCCTCTTACAAAATGGTTAATTTCAGGGCCCAAAATTCAGGGGTACCGGGTTAAGGGAAGGTTAGGGGAAGTCTGAAAATAAACTAATGCCATGAAATCTGATCTTTGGTAATAATCATTCATTTATAATGAGACAAAATTTATGATAAAACTTCCAAATTTTGAAATATGTGGTCCCAGGGTCAGTGGTTCCTATGGGTGAGGGTGCACAACTGGTGGTTATAAAGTGGAAATGTATTTTCTCTTTGTTACTGTTATCTATCTACCTCTAGGTACATGTACTTACTAACCAAAGTAAGCCTGCTGAGTGTATAATTATGATAAACATTGCAGGTGCCTTCTTCAAAATTGTGAATTTCTTGGGTTTTGATTTAAAACATGAACCAAATTCCATTTGTAAAGTTGGCAAGTTGTTACATAATACTCAGATGACCTATAAGGCCAGTGGGCCTCTTGTTATGAATTAATATACATGTAATATGTTAATAATAGTTGTTCTCATTTAGGACCTTATTTACGTATACGTATCATTTAGAAACTCGTTTCAAAGCCCCATTAATCACATTACCACAGTAAATTTCGTACATTATCCATACTGAAGAATTTTGAGACGGATCCTTCGGGTGAGTCTGTATAAACCGAGGTCCTGTGTAGCTGAAAATGCCGGTCCAGAAAAGTTCCCTAAGTGCTCATTGGCCGCTAGTGCCGAGTATTAGACAAAAGTTGCAGTTCTCCACCGGAAAGTGCTGGCGTCTCCATAAGAGTGAAAAGTTATCAAGAGGGGCTTCAAACAATAAATCGTACATTATCATTAACCTTTTATTTAATAGACAAATAGTGGTGATTCACTCACTGTTTTTGTTAGGTCCCCCGTATGCACAGCAGCAGCACAAACGATACTTCCTACAGGATCCACTCTTGATACATCGGTATATCCTGTACACCGTGTACACCAAATTTACCGGAGAGGGGACTCTGTATTTGTAGTTCATAATCACGGTGTATCGTTGAAATCGCCATAGATTCTCAGCATTAGCCGTCACTCGTTCGTAGGTAGAGCTGCACAAAACAAGTGTTGTTAGTATTTTTGTTTACTACTGTTTTAACAAGATAAATCGAAATAAATCTACTTTTTATAAATACTGTAAGCATGGAATGATAATTTTCAGATGCATTCCAGATGAAGTGAATGGAGTTTTGCCACTTGAGCTTTAAAAATTCCAATCATTTGCAGTTTATGGAAGGGAATTACCGCCAAAAGTCTATGTACCTTGCTTTTATTCTTATTCTGCCTACTTCTTTATGCTTTGTTATCATTGTAATTATATGTCACTTTATTGTTTTCATATTCGTCTTTATTACATTTAACTTTGACTTTTATCCTTCTTCATTTTGTCCTTACTTCTATGTTGCTTTATTCTTGTAAATTCATTCTACTTTTTTTTTAAACTTACACAGTTTCTTAAATAAATTATTCAATCACGCAAACAATGAAGCATATTCTATGAAGACGAATGGAAGTTGCCAAACCGTCAAAATTTAGTGCGGCATTATAACGCTAGGTGGTGTGGTGTTCGCTACGAGTGTTGGTAAAACTAGGTAACCAAACCCGGGTCGGGTTATTTGAGATTCTTAAATACGCCTTAGTACTTTAATTATCAATCGAACTTCTGAAGGCTGGATCCAATAATCCGATCCAATAATTCATATTCATATTTATTTTCTCTGGGCACACAGGAATAGCGGCCTCTTTTTTCAGACATAACTTTATACTATACTGAATATGTTCACTGAAAGGCCGACCCACTTTTTGTAAGAGTAAGGGTCAAATAAGTTAATGTAGTACGTATAGTAAAGAAAATTTAAATTTGATTCTAAAGAAGAAGTTGAATCTAACCCAAAACTCACCCCGCCTTCGAAATAGGATTTCATTGGCATCGGAAGCAAATTGAAAGTGGAAAGTGTAAGAATTTTTTTAAGACCTTAAAAAAAATCTGACACGCAAAAAAAAAATTAAAGAAAAGAAATGTCCATTTTCCAAACTCAAATATTCAATTTCGTCATGTTGGGGTGGGGTGGGGGTTAGGTTCGATCCAGTGCCAAAGTTTTTTTTTTCCATACAACACCACTTTCCCCATTTTAAACCTATACTGCATCGTGTCCATGGTAAGGTGGGGGGGGGGTGGGGGTGGGGTGGTCTAAACCTATGCAGGAACGTCTGTACTAAGTCTATCTCTGGAAAAAAAAGTGGGGGCTAAGCCCCCCCCCCCCCCTCCACGGTTCCGATGCCTAGTATGTATTTTCATGTTTGGACAATTTCCTGGGGTTTTTTTTGCGCTTGTCAAGGTGCTTTCAGCCGGGTACTTTACTATTTATTCTCTTGTTGCCCCCTCCCTACTTTCAAAAACGTACAATGCTACGTCACTGTTCTCTCGCCTGAAAAATATAACTCTATTAAAGTTAATTGTTGGATTATTGAATTCCAGTTTAATTGATAGAAAAATGTTCAATATTTTGATACTAGTTAACCCTCATAAATTGGGTTGTTTTTCAGAACCTTCCACTGAACTGAACTTCATTTCACGACAGATAGTAACTGCTCATGTGCGTGATTCTAGGGACATGGCTTTGCAAAGGAGTGAGGAGCGTTAATATGGGTAGGCAGGCGCGGATCCAAAATTTTTTTTCCAAGGGGGGGGGGGGGGGTTCCACCCCAGTCCAAAAAAAAAATTCCAATCCCAGAAATTTCTTGACGAGCATAAAAAAACCTAAACTCGCCCAAACGTCAAAATCCTATTTCGTAGGGAGCGTTTAACATTTTTTCCTTGCTTTAGTATATACATTTTTAAACCTTGTAAATTCCAGGGGGTCCTAACACCCCACCCCCCCCTCTAGATCCGCGCATGGTAAGCGAAGTAGGAACTAGTCATCATGCATCCAGACATAATAGAAACTCCCTGGTCTTATTTTCAGCGTTAATATCTTATATTAAAATAGCACTTAATTTTCAATAAACTAAGAATTTAAATCTTTAGTACGCATCGTATTTGTGATCAGCCAGAAGAGCTAAAAAATTCTTAGAACTCAAAAATTCTGTTTGGTGGTGGTGAGGGGGGAGGGGTCGTCAACTTTTTTTCAGTACTAAATTTTACTCATGCAAATAAGTACATGACTTTTAATATATAAACTGACTATTAGTACTGCAATAAAAAGGGTAAGGGATGGGGGCAACAAGCCTTTCGCTGAACTTTTCCAATAGTAAAAAGTTACGTTTAGGAAAATGTTTCGTGGCCACCCACCCCTCTACCGGCGAAACTTACCCCATAGGAGGTCGTCCACCCGGAAGTCAGTATATATATTGAGACTTTGGTGGTTTGATTGTACATTGTATAATGCCCCTTGCGAGAATTTTTAATTCAAAAGGAGAAGCCACATCTTGCCGGTGGAGAGCTGCAAATTTGTCCTATATACTTGGCACTTATAGCCATTGAGCAGTGAGGGATCTTTTTTCGAGCCAGCACCTACTGCGATACGGCACCTCGGGTAACAAGGTCTAGATCTCACCCGATGGATTGAACTCCACGTCCTTCTGTGGGATTCTTACCCACGACGTATTGATCGACTCCTTACTACTGTAATTCGTGACTCTAGACGCCGTAACCACAGTGCCACGCGGGCGACTTAACCCAGGGGGGGGTCATTATCCATATGTACTCTTGAAGATTATCTATGTTTAACTATTGGTTAAAATGATTTAATTATAAAGCACTTTTAAAATGATATTATTTAAATATTTATTCATACATGTATCATGTGTATAGGACGGATAACTTTTCTTCAAAAACTGAAAACGTTCGTATATATAAACATCGTTTTACGATTAAAAAAAACTATTCGGGGGAGGGGTTGCTATGAAGTGGGGGGGGGGGGGCGAATTGCTATATATAGCGAGATTTCCCACGGAAGACAGCTATACCCCGGGGGAAGTCCCACTGTATAGTCTTCCGAAGGAAGCATCACTATGTAGTCAGTCTTCCAGGGGAAATCTTACCATCTAGCGAGACTTCCGAGAGAATGGCATGTATCGGATACATTGGCATGTATCGGGTACATACCTGAACTAATAACAAACATCATTCATTTGAAAATTTAAGTTCGATTGATAAAGTATTAAGGCAGAAAATTGGAAAAAACTCGAATAACCCCGGCCCGGTTTGCTTACCTAATTTTACCAACACTCTTATCGAACACCCCTGCCACCTAGCGTTATAATGCGGCACTAAATTAGGACAACTCGTATTCGTCTTCATTGAATATGCTTCATTGTTTGCGTGATTGATTTAACGTTCGTAATAGAGATAATCATTTAAGATACTGTATCAATTTAAAAGAAAATAAAATGACTTAACAAGAATAAAGAAACATAGAAGTAAGGACGAAATGAAGAAGTTGATAAAAGTCAAAGTGAAATGTAATAAAGACGAATATGAAAACAATAAAGTGACATATAATTACAATAATAACAAAGCATAAAGAAGTAGGCAGAATAAGAATAAAAGCAAGATACATAGACTTTTGGCGATAATTCCCTTCCATAGCAGTTACCGTTCATTTTCTATTCACACTGAAATAAAATCTGGTATACAGATTTAAGAATGTCTAGGTTAAAGTCTGCTTTGGGTACGATTTAGCCATCTTGGATAGAGTTTTACCGTTGGACGAAGAATAATTCTAATTATCTTGGGGGGGGGGGGGGGGCATACGTGTTTTAGAAACATGTTTTTTTTTCCATATCAGACGAAGTGTATCCAGATTGCATACATGTCATGTATTGCATGTGACTGCATACTTTTCATGTGATTCAAATTCTATTCCATGAAAATACTTTATTTTCTACATAATTCTATAACAGCCGTTAAGTTCGGAAAAAGAAAGTAGGTGATTATGACGTCATAATGATTAAGTCTAAAGTCATTTACTAGATCTTGGCCTTAAGTACCTTACGTACGGAAAAAGAAAGTTGAAAGTGATTATGACGCCATAAAGGATCTAGCACAAAAAACTAGTCTAAAGTCTTAATGATTTTCCAAAACTTTCAAGCATTTTTTTTATGATGGCCTGTACAAAGCAGCAGATCAATACCTGAACATAGCAATGACCAGATTAACAAGCAGCAGGTTTGAGAAGAGCATGTACAGAGCAGACACGGCACCCACTGTCCAGTCCTCCTGTGGACATCTGTCTCCAGAGCCGTGGGAAGACACCGTAAAGTTAGTTACTGTACAGTCCTCGGCACAGGGTCCGGAATTTCCTGTATTGGAAGAAAATGTATACGCATTAAATGGTACATTGTAGGTCCTAAGCACAGGATGATTTTCATAGAATTATTTTAGAAAGATGACTGAATGGCGAAATCTGGCGGTCAGCACCGTTTCAAACCTTAAGGTGCCTTCTTTTCCACTGAATTGCAATTTTATCTTTGGAAGAGCTAAGAATTCTAAAAAATAATTAAAGTGTTTTACGAAAAAATAAAATAAAAGATGGACATAAAAAACATTAACTCACAAAATAAGTAGATGTTAACACTATCAATAAAATGTCCCTTTGTTTAAATTGATCTCTTCCTTATGTCCCATTACAAACATTTTTTTTAAAATTCACAGCGCCAAAAAAAAACGCCAAAGGTGAAGCTGATTATTTATAAAAAGGAACTTGTTGAATCAATAAAGAATTAAAGATGACGACTGACTTGTATTTACTAGAGCATGAAATTAAAATTCAAGTTACAGACCAGATGGAATTGTTCTCATTTTTCTCCTTTCAGTTACAGTGTACATAGTAAAAGGCTACATGTGTAGCTCTCTCTCTAGATGGAAGATCATTCATTTTGGCCGTGACATGCGGCGACGAATAGACGAAGATCGCACATTATTGTTGTTATTTTCTACTATGAATTTGTTAATTAAGCTTACCTTCTAAGAAATCGTTGAATGTTTCTCCGTAGAGCTGCCAATAAGGATAGCAGATGACCTTCCAAATCCTCCAGTCGGTCCACCTTCCCTCCCAGAAATATACATGGTCCGGCCAAAGATTAGCGTGGTAGTAAAACCCAACACCAAGAATCACAATGAAAAGCAGGATGATAAATCCAAACAGGTCCTTGAGCTGTAGGAAAAAGAACAACTTTATAATTTTACTCTTACTGCAGAAAACTTATGCGATTCAATAAGCTTACTATTTATTAAAAAGGTTTGTAATATTTTAGTGATAAAGGTTAAGACTCACAAGAGGATTATAACTACTTTTAATCCCAGCATTTTCATGAGAGTGCTTATCTAGGAATACGGTTGTTTTAGTTGGTCAATTTAATTTTCGTTCAATTAATTTTCATTAAAAAGGGTAAAAGTTCGTACATGTATAGAACTATAAAATTAATTTCATAATTCAATGCAAATTGGTATTCATTTCCGAGAAACAAAACCCTCGATTGAATTGGATATAGTATTTTGCAGAGTAATGTTCTTCATTATATGTGTAAATGTTTGTCGTCTGTTCATGTTTTCAGAGTACAAAAGTTTTGCTTACCATTTCTTTTATCATGATCAAAGTAGGACCCGGTGATCTAATCATAAGAAATGCTTCTAGAAAACGGAGATACATGATGAGTAACGACAGGGAAAACACCCTTCGAGATATCGTGAAGGTTTCAATTTGGGATTCGTAAAAGTGTCGTACCCACAGGGCAGTGATCAACAAGTTATAGGACAGAATGTCAACTTGATTCCAAAAATTGTTTAAGTAACGCTTTACAATAGTTGTGTAACTGCGGTAGGATTTTCCTTCAATGGCTGAGTCGTGAAATATTCCCTGAAATAAAAAAAAAAATATTTTGAATCTTTTAAAGCTTTTGTTTTAGTAATAATATGATTTTTTTATACACAATTTGCCATCATTTCTTAAACATGTTTTGCATGCATGATCTAAGATTCGCTGCTTTTACTTACAAAGCAACTGAAAAATTCTTCCAGCAAATCGCCAAATCCCCAGAAATAGACGTAATATTCAAATATTCTTGCTATGTCTCGGACGTAATAAGTTGTACCAATACTTGTCGTTACAAAGGCGCTGTAACTGACCAGCGTAGTCAAGAACAAAAACTGCAAGGAAGAAAACCCTACTATACATGCATATCTGGGTTTATGTCAAGTGAACTTCCAAATCTTCGGTCAGTGTTCCTCAAGTGTACCTTTTTTGAATAGATACAGATAGCTAGGGAAGATATTTACAAAGCCCAAGTTGTCCTATGCTGCAAATCCTCATGACAAAACAAATTTTGAAGAGAAATTTATTGGAAGGACAATGTTGCAGACTACCGATTCTGAACTATTAACACTGTTATAATACATACAACATTTGAAGACGTATTTTGACAGTGGAGATGTCAATACTTTGCCTGGTTTATTGAATACAGACTGTAAAAAATATACATAAATTGATAAAAAAAATTAATGACGATTAAGTTCATGAGCATTCGTTACAAGAACCAAGAAACGTTTTGTTAATAATATTTTTTAAAGATTATAAACAAAATATTGGTTGTCTACCTTAATACAAGGAATAAGATGTGGTGCTTGACCGCTGTACCAAGTTTTGTTAAGATTCTTCTGACTGGCCGGCTTTGCCACGAACTCATACATGAAATTTTCGTAGGCAAAGGTCAAAGGATTGCTGGTTATTCCCCAGATTGTGACAGGGTCTTCCAGAACCTTTAGAGTCTTTTTGGAGTCGGTTTCAAACATGGAATCAAGTATTTCTAATGCTCTTTTGTAAAACATTCTATAAAGAGAAAATAAAAATTCACGTCTCTGATTTTATTCAATCGTTATTTAGTAGGAATTTAACATGCAAGTAAGAAAAAAAAATAACAAATATGTCTGAAATACCACAAAAATTTTGCACATATAATTTTCTTTTACTACACAGCGGCTTTAGAAAAGTACATGTGTATTTTAAAATTACCCTATTTCGCTACTTTTTGTAAATTTCTAAATTGGCCCAGAAGTGTTTCTGGAGAAAAAAAATTGTGATAATTAAAACTACAGATTAACGGTCTACAGAGAAAATGCGATCCATCGGAGACGCTTTGACGTTAATGATAGGTAAGTGATTAGTGATGTTAGCATTATTATTTGTATTATTGAATGTTTTGGGCTTAATTACTGTTCTCCATATTATACACAATTTAATAAGAAATAAAAAAAAGAAACCCTTAATAATCAACAAGCATTAACAATTACAATTAACAAGCAAGAAAATGTTTCAATTTTTTTTTCTTTAAAGAAAATGAATATAATATAAGACTAACACGTTTGTTCTTACTGTGCATGTTCCATCAGGTCTTTTGAAAGATTCTGTTCCTTAACATTATCAGCTTCCTCGGACAATTTCCGTAATGTTTCGTAGCAAACCAAGCCAGTCACTGCAATAGATAACTTGACAGTTTTGTTTAACTTCTCTCTGAATAAAAACTAGTTATTCCGACCCTTGATAAGACCTGAATAACGATTTAATAGGTCACCTTAGTAAAACTGAAACTGTAGGAGAAGTAGCACTTTGAAAAATTGTTTATGGACAGACGGACAGACGCGTTACTATCCCATAAGCTCTTCTGGTCTCTGACCAGTGGAGCTAAAAATGAAGACTTTGAACAAATAATAATATTTCTGAAAGAAAACACATACTGAGTTGGTTTTCCCCCTTAGCCAAACTGTTTCTGCGATTTCAGGCCTGTTAGCATACAATGCCCATAGAAGTATATCTTCTAAATTGGCTGGATTACTTTCTTGGAAATGTACTTCCACAAAGCTTTCCTCTGGTAGTATTTTCTGACATGTATATTCTTTTTCTGAAAAAAAAAAACCACATACTAATTTGTGCTACTTTCTCATCTTTATGACAATTCCAAGATCGACTCTTAAGTTAGAATCAATGTATCATACTGAAGAGCACATAATGAGACCGACGAGAGGGGAAGTGTGTATTTCTTGTGAACTGGACGACCCTAGGGTATAAAGATCAAATTTGAAAAACATGTAGGTTTTGGGACTCTTCCAAGAAATAAATATTGTTATATCAAACATCGTTTAAATATCGCCCGTAAAATTTGTAACTTATATGGAGTGACAGCAATTTGCCTGTGAAGGGCTACAAAATTATACATAATCTCGGCAATCAAGGTCATTGAGTTTCGAGGTAACCTTTGGAGCCAACACCTACTGCGACACGGAACCCCGGTCTATCAGGTCTAATCGAAAGACACTCAGTCCGCATCCCAAGTAAATTCGATCCCCACTACGTAAGGATCAGCTCCATTGTATGAGACTCTAGCACAGACGCTCTAATCGCTTCGCTATATCAACGTGTATAATATAATTATGTAAGATAAATAATAAACTATGTCTACTTTGGTAATCGAGAAGTTCTCTGCATATGGTCTGTGGTGCCTGAACACCCTTCTTTACATCGTTCTTTTTGAAACATCTCTCGGCCTCTTCTTTATTAATAGACTGAAAGAAATGAATATCAATTTTATCGATACACTCCTGTAGTCCTTTTCACAAAAAATCTTACGACTAAGACTGTAATTTAAAAACTCTACTAAGACTGTAATTTAAAAACTCTGATTTTTTTATATTAAATAAAGATATTTTTTCTATTTTTTTTCTAAACATTTGATGACAATAATGAAATATTTATATAAAAATAATAGATTTAAAAAAGACTTTCGCAAAATAGGTATTTGTTTTCTCATAAGTACTAAAAATCTCCAAGGTCAAAGTCAAAATTGTTGGTATCAAATGAAAGGTCTTGCTACAAAGAATACATATGTGAAATATAAAGTCCTGGTATCTACTATTCAAAAGTTTTGGCCAAGGTCTTTTGTAAAAAGACCTCCAAGGTCATTTCATGTTTCAATGGGCTTTTCACAAGAATTTTATATATATGAAACAAAAAAGTTATGGTCAAGGTTAAAGTTTTTTTTTTTCATAAGTACGGAAATGTCCAAGCTCAAGGTCAAAGTTGTTGGTATCCAATAAAAGGTCTTGCTACAAAGAATAAATATGTGAAACAAGAAAGTCCTAGTACCTACCATTCAAAAGTTATGGCCAAAGTAAATTTTTGTGTGAAAGTGGGTCAAAGTCCAAGGTGAAGGTCAAAAGGTCAATTTTTGTGGTACCCAAAAAAAGGTCTCGTCACAAGAAATACCCATATGAAAAATGAAAGTTATGGCTCCCCTAAATCAAAAGTTATGGGCAAGGTTTTGTGACGGACGGACAGACTGACGGACAGACAGACGAATGAGATTTAATGTCCCCTAGCTTTCGCAAAAGAGGGGTACAAAAAGACTTTCACAGAAAAGGTATTTGTTGGAGAATGGAGGGGGGTCCTAATCGTATGACTCTTTGTAAAAAGACCTATTGTTTTGGGCTATTTATTTAAAACAAAAACAGTCAAAGAAATTTTTCACAGTTCCTTTTCTATTTTAATACTTAAGACTTAATACTTAGTTATTTAAGAGTAATACTAGTAAATGTTTCCAAGTAAATCGTTTTCAAGTTTCAGCTTACCTTCATCAGCCACATCATTCCTAAGCAGTTACAGTCTTTAACTTTCGGTCCATGCTTCGGACAGCTTATAGTCTTGAAATAAGAACAATTTTAAAACATAGAACTAACGAAAATAAAAAAAATACTGTAGTATTTTCAGATTTACTATGTTAACTTGGAAATAAGTTTATAGAAATGAATTATAAAAAGATATTAATAGACAATGTCTTTTAATTTTTAACAAGAAATCTGTGAGCCAATGTTCACTAGTAATGATTTCTTATTGAATATACAATATCATGTTCATAAACGTTACGGGTATATGCAAGGATAAATAGAAATTTTACATCAGATTCATATAAAAATAAAGTATGTACTAAGATTTGATGCATCTGTTATGATTTGCTGCTGAGAAAACTGCGACAAAAATTTGTTAAATTATGAAATGGACAGATGCACGGATAAACAGGAAGTAGACATCGGATTTGAACAAATATTAATCCCATCATATAGCATGCTTCATGAAAGAGTGTGCTAAAATATGTTTAGTATTTGCGATTAGTAGTTGCTGAGACAACTACCCGGAAATAGTTGACAAGCATAAAAAAAAACATTGCCCAATTTCGAAAATCTCATTTCGTGGAAAGGAGGGGAGGGGGGGGGGGGGGGTTAGAGTATTTTTTTTTCTTTTCAGGTGCCAACTTCTTTTAGTACCAATTTTTTAGGCATGCAATACTACATTTCCCTTATATCACTTCAGGCTAGTATTTCCATGAACATTTTCAATAGTAAAAGTAATGTTCGAAAAAAGTCAAAAAGAAAAAAAAGCCCCCCCCCCCCCCCCCCCCGTTGCTACCTACCTGCTAGTGTACTGAGGTTAGAAATCTAGGTTTATCTTTCCAATGACACACTTTTTATAACTACCCATATGTTTATATATCTCACCCGCCAAGATTCGTTATAAGAAGTTATCTTAGTGCATTATACGTACCGATTTGTACAGTACTGGTATATCCTTCATTTTGACAGATACACCGTGATCCATAAGGACTTTGACGTAATCGGTTCTATTGGATTTCAGCGCCTCTAATAGTAAAATCTGAAATAGAGAGATACGTACTTGTATTAGAATGACTTAATCAGATTTTTTTTAAATTTAACGCGGACCAAAGAAAAAAAGGGTATGCATTTCTACTAAATTGTCAGTAATCACATATCTCACAGGAATACCTGATTGTCGGGCCAAACATTTCGCAATTTCGGAAAAGGCATTCTTGCTCATTATAAATGTTTGATAAACACCAACAAAAAGCAGATTTCAAAGCATTACTTCATTTTCAGGATATAATCATTAGAGCCTCACCGTCCCAAGTACCCAAAGGGCCTTGAAATTCACAAATCTGGAAAAAGCGCCCTTAAACTTGCTCAGCATAAATACATATATGTACTTAGATCATCAGTTTAATACCAAATTATAAAGGAAATTTATCAAATAATTAATTCAAATCTATATCCTAAACAGAACTCCGCCCAAACACCAGAACCCAGGGGTCTTGAAATTCGCAATATAGGAAGACGCACTCTTCATCATTCCTAGTGTACAATTTTCATTGGTTTTATACCCAGGAGCAGAGGAGAAGATGTTCCAAGAATTAAAACATTTTCCCAAAATATTCAACGTATAATAACAATCATGCCAACAATTAGGTTGCCTGATGTCGAGGAGAAAAGAAAATTTTTAAAGATTGCATTAATTTTAATGGTTTTTGTCCCTCTTAGATTTTTACGCATCTTTACCCATAGATGCTACATGCCAAATCTTGTTTACATTTGTTCAGTGGTTTCAGAGAGAGAAAAAACCGAAAATGTTTATATGTTAACACACCACGCACGACATTACATGACGATGGACGAAAACAGATAGGAATAGGTCACCTGAGTAAAAACCTAAAGGTTACTGACTGCTGTCTATTCGATACTAAATGGACGTGGTAAGGAACTGTTTTAACCTTGTTAAATCAATACCGCACCAGTCCAGTACAGCCATGAGATGACCTTGTCGAAAGGCAATACTTGTTTATTGTCATTCAATATAATATAAGCTAGAATAGTTTATCAGCGAAAAAATGCGTTTCAAAAAATGAATACTTACGTGGCCACAATCCATGAGAAGACTATGTTCTTGTAACACTTGATATCCCACATAGAAATAAAGCGGAAGTGAGGGTGGAGATGTAAACTTGGAATCCACAATGTAACCCTCGGTACCAAATGACGTCAATAATTTTTCGGCAATTGTCACTTTCCTGTCTTTGGTGACTTCATCTCTCTGAGTTTCCATACTCCAAGATACAACTGGTTTGTCATGCTTATTTTCGCTGCCCAAATGACCATTTCCTTTAATTAAGGAACCATCTGGAATATCCTTGTGGCCATGCGGACTTTCATACGAGGAGATGTCGTATATTTCGCTTTTTTCGGGTAGTGCGGGTGATTCTATATAAAATAAACATCTACAGTGTATATTGTAGTTTAGTTTGAAACACTTGTGTACGGATCGGAATAACAAAATTGGGGGCATATATACTTGTCAAAATTTCTAACGCCCCACTTTTATTTTTTGAATATTGAAGAAACCGTTATGTTAATATTAAAGTCCTTAAAAACATCGTCTGCTGTATGTACCCTTTCCTGTCTACGATTGAAAAAAATCGTATTCAATTAGAAATTATTCAGCCGTGACCGCTTTTGTTGAAAAGCGTGAAGTACGGGTTCGAAATGGTTTTCGGGTGTATTTTTCAAAACGGTCTTTTCAACGTGTTCTCTGTCTCAAGATCATCTTGAAAAACAGTTAATGTTTTGGAGAAAATGCGACGCATGTCTGCACAAGAACGCGCAAGAGCAGTTGGCATGGTCCGAGTCGGAAGCAGTTCAGGGAGGTGTGTTTCTTTTCTCTTTGTATAATTTTTTTTTCTTCCAACATTTAACAAGAGGCCCATGGGCCACATCGCTCACCTGAGTACCAAGGGTAGGACTAGTATGAAATGGCTTTTAATTGTAAAGTTTAAATCCAAAAGTAGTCCCATGACCAATCATGGATTTGATATATTTTAGAAAATGATTGAGAAGAAGATTTTTTAAGAATTTTCCTATATATTTCTATGTAAAACTTTAATCGGCCATTTTGCCCCCGCCCTACCCCCGGGGGTCATGATTTGAACAAATTTGAATCTACACTACCTGAACATGCTTCCATATAAATATGATGAATTATGGCTTTGTCATTCTTGAGAAGAAGATTTTTAAAGATTTTTCCTATATATTTCTATGTAAAACTTTGGTCGGCCATTTTGGCCCCGCCCTACCCCCGGGGATCATGATTTGAACAAACTTGAATCTACACTACCTGAGCATGCTTCCATATATATATGATGAATTATGGCTTTGTCATTCTTGAGAAGAAGATTTTTAAAGAATTTTCCTATATATTTCTATGAAAAACTTTGTCAGCCATTTTGGCCCCGCTCTAACCCCGGGGGTCATGATTTGAACAAACTTGAATCTACACTACCTGAGCATGCTTCAATATAAATATGATGAATAATGGCTTTGTCATTCTTGAGAAAAAATTTTTTAAAGATTTTTTCCATATTAATTCTATGTAAAACTTTGGCCGGCCATTTTGGCCCCGCCCTACCCCCGGGGATCATGATTTGAACAAACTTGAATCTACACTACCTGTGCATGCTTCCAAATAAATATTATGAATTATGGCTTTGTCATTCTTGAGAAGAAGATTTTTATAGATTTTTCCTATATATTTCTATGTAAAACTTTTGTCGGCCATTTTGGCCCCGCTCTAACCCCGGGGGTCATGATTTGAACAAACTTGAATCTACACTACCTGAGCATGCTTCAATATAAATATGATGAATAATGGCATTGTCATTCTTGAGAAAAAATTTTTTAAAGATTTTTTCCATATTAATTCTATGTAAAACTTTGGTCGGCCATTTTGGCCCCGCCCTACCCCCGAGGATCATGATTTGAACAAACTTGAATCTACACTACCTGTGCATGCTTCCAAATAAATATTATGAATTATGGCTTTGTCATTCTTGAGAAGAAGATTTTTATAGATTTTTCCTATATATTTCTATGTAAAACTTTGGTCGGCCATTTTGGCCCCGCCCTACCCCCGGGGGTCATGATAAACAAATTTGAATCTACACTACCTGAGCATGCTTCCATATAAATATAATGAATTATGGCTTTGTCATTCTTGAGAAGAAGATTTTTAAAGATTTTTCCTATATATTTCTATGTAAAACTTTGGTCGGCCATTTTGGCCCCGCCCTACCCCCGGGGGTCATGATTTGAACAAATTTGAATCTACACTACCTGAGCATGCTTCCATATAAATATAATGAATTATGGCTTTGTCATTCTTGAGAAGAAGATTTTTACAGATTTTTCCTATATATTTCTATGTAAAACTTTGGTCGGCCATTTTGGCCCCGCCCTACCCCCAGGGGTCATGATTTGAACAAACTTGAATCTACACTACCTGAGCATGCTTCCATATAAATATGATGAATTATGGCTTTGTCATTCTTGAGAAGAAGATTTTTAAAGATTTTTCCTATATATTTCTATGTACAACTTTGGTCGGCCATTTTGGCCTCGCCCTACCCCCGGGGATCATGATTTGAAGAAACTTGAATCTACACTACCTGAGCATGCTTCCCCATAAGTTTCATCTTTCCTGGCACAGTGGTTCTTGAGAAGAAGATTTTTAAAATTTACCACTAAATTTTCATTAATTCCAAATTATCTCCCCTTGAATAAGAGCGTGGCCCTTCATTTGAACAAACTTGAATCCCCTTCACCCAAGGATACTTTGTGGCAAGTTTGGTTGAAATTGGCCCAGTGGTTCTTGAGAAGAAGTCGAAAATGTGAAAAGTTTACAGACAGACAGACGGACAGACGGACAGACAGACGGACAGACGGACGCCGGACAAAATGTGATCAGAAAAGCTCACTTGAGCCTTCGGCTCAGGTGAGCTAAAAACTAATAAAAAAAAAAGCTAAATAAATTGATTAAAACTTTTTCAGGTTGCTAGAACTTTCAACCGAGACCATAAAACCATACTAAGGCTCTCCGGAACTTCAATCAAACTGGAAGTACAGATGATCTACCCCGGGGAGCGAAACGTCGAGTGACGACACGTCAACAGGACAATTACATTAGGGTTGCGCATCTTAGGAACAGACACCGTACAGCAAGCACAACGGCGCGACAAACAATAGGAACGCATGGCAGACCTCTGAGTGACCAAACTGTGCGCAACAGACCAAGGGAGGGTGGACTGCGTGCCAGGAGACCATATGTAGGCTTAGTTTTGTCGGACAGGCACAGGCAGATCTGTTTGGCCTGGGCAAGGCGCCGCCTCAGATTTACAAGGGCAGACTGGGGCCGTGTAGTCTTTACGGACGAGTCCAGATTCAACTTGCGACGATCTGACTGACGAAGCCGAGTGTATCGAAGAAGGGGTGAGCGGTACACTGACGCCTGTGTGAGGGAAAGAGGGCAGTTTGGTGGTGGATCGATAATGGTATGGGCGGGTGTGTCGTTACACACGAAAACCAGGATACTTCCAATCCAAGGAAACCTGAATGCTGCTCGGTATCAGAACGACATCCTTCAGCCGGAAGCAATTCCTCACATCAGAGCTAACAGAGGAATGATGCTGATGCAGGACAACGCCAGTCCCCATACTGCCAGAACTACACAACAGATACTGCAGGGACACATTATCCGTTTACTCGACTGGTCCCCATGTAGTCCGGATCTCAATCCTATTGAACATGTGTGGGACGAGCTAGACAGAAGGATATGACAGATTCCCCAGCAACAGAATTTGGCGGTACTGGAGAGGGATCTTGTTAACACCTGGAATAACCTCCTTCAAAGATTTCTGCACAATTATGTGAACACTATGAGAAGCAGATGTCTTGCTGTCATTTGTGCAAATGGGTGACATACTCGGCACTGAATGTTAAGAATTTTGAATTGCAGGGTACCTATACCGGAACTTAATTTCCATCAAGCATAACAATAAATTTTGATGGAATAAAATGAAATTGATTTGTTTATTTATTTTTCCTTCATCTTACATAAAGGTTTAGTCAACATAATTGCGTTTAAAGGTAATGCTTTTAAAAATATCATCTGGGGCGTTAGAAATTTTGACTAGTATATAAGAATTAATGTTTTAGAACTTGCCAAATACATATCGTATATGAAAGCCAAGTAGATTCTCTCTTGCGAGATGACGCTTGTAAATCATTATATATTCTGTTGCACGTATCAAAATAAAGAACTTTAAAGTATCAAATTTAAATTCCTTTTTAATGATCAAATTAATTGGATTATTTTTTCTTGTTCACAGATCAAAAAACGCTTATTTTAAAAAAGGAAGGACGACATATTTTTTATGAATGTAGTTGATTCTTTTACATGTATATCTTAGTTTATTACATGTACGTGTAGAGCAGGTGCAGTAGGTAAACTTTTTTTCTCAGTGTCAGCTACTTTAAGTAGCAATTCTAATACTACATTTTCAGTACATCACTAAAAGTGGGGGGGGGGGGGCAATCAGGCTTACAATTAACATTTCCTATAGTACAAGTAAGGTTGGGAAAAAAAGTGGGTGGGCCAGCCCCCCCCCCCTGCTCCCCCCCCCCCCCCCCGTTGCTACGGCCCTGCATATCGTATATGAAAGCCAAGTAGATTCTCTCTTGCGAGATGACGCTTGTAAATCATTATATATCCTGTTGCACGTATCAAAATAAAGAACTTTAAAGTATCAAATTTAAATTCCTTTTTAATGATCAAATTAATTGGATTATTTTTTCTTGTCCACAGATCAAAAACGCTTATTTTAAAAAAGGAAGGACGAGATATTTTTTATGAATGTAGTTGATTCTCTTATATGTATATCTTAGTTTATTACATGTACGTGTAGAGCACTCAATTACTATTAATCTATAAAATTAGAGGATCGCAAATTCAGACTTGAGCTTGGTATTTGAGCAGTGGTGGGTTGCTGTTTTTTTGTCCAAGAAACAACTGCGTCAAGGGACCTCCATTTATTGTTACCGTTTCATCCCAAGGACCTGTTGGATTTGAACCCGCGACGTAAGCATCAACTCAATCCGCGATTCGGCAGCAAAGGGCTTTAATTATCGCGCCACCTAGGAGAGCAGGAAAATACATGTTGCGATAACTATTAAGCAGTTTTTGGCTGGTATGGCGCTTAAATTGAACATATTTGTATTCCTGTACCAGAAGAGTGACTGGTGGGTGAAGAATTGTCTATGGAAATTTCGAAAACACTTTCGCTGTATACAGACTGATTTGGAATAAAACCTCCATACAAACCGTACCGTGTACTTCTTCCAACGCCCATCCTCTCACCACTGCTTCGCCAACAAGTTTGGGAAACATCAACGGGTCATCATTTTCAGTATCAAATTCGCTCACCTAATATAAAGAATTTTCTTCTGATACCCTTCATCGAAAACTTCAAATTTAAAACTTCCTCAAAGATATACATTGTAACTCTTTTAATATACCAATACATGAGTAATGATGGGATTTCCGATGACTGGTGAATAGTTTTGAGAGCAGGGATAAGCCTGTTTTACTTAGCTAAGGGGATAAGGCCTTTCATATAGTATACCGACAATAAATCAAAATTTATATTATAATTATATAAACATACCATCCAAGGTCTTTCTTTCAGTCTATTCAAGTTCTTTTCCAACTCTTGAAAATGATCGTCATTGAACTTAAGTCCAAATAAAAGCGCCGCCTGGCTACGGAGATTGTCCTCGCTGCATTAATTCACAATAAACGAGACGTATCAATTAGAAAGTAATCTATTGTATTATTATAGTGGTGGAAATAAAAGATTGCAACCAATCTCCTACATAGATCATAGAAAGTCAGAGAAAAAAAGACTGAATATTGCTTAACATTCCTCTTGAGAGTTTTTCAACTATGGAGACATGAAACAATATCTTAAAATCAATTGTCGGGAGGGAATGTTCACTCCTCCATGACACCTGATTCCATCTCTAATGTTTAGGAGGCCCGTGTTTACTCTGCTCTAATTTTGTATCCTTTAACGAAATTTCGAGCTTGAAAACTGTATTTTATCTTCGTATATTTCCTGGTATAAACTTTTTTTTTTATCTTTTGAGAAAATCCAGGATGATGTCTGCAGCTTTACCTGACCCCTTGATGACGATGACTGGTACATTTTGATGGACAGCTTCAGCCACGTGTTTAATGTCCTCAACATCACCCTCCACGAGGATTATCACAATCGGTATGTGCATGACTATCGGTAAACAATGTAATTTTAAATACTTTTATATATAAGGATATCTCTATTTATATAGTGTCCAATGTCTAGAAGAATGATTTTTTAAAATCAAAATAAAATTCTAGTCGTATCCTTACATTGACTTCCATTTTTCAATTATGAACTTACTATTTAGCTAAAACTGTTTGACTCAATTACTCCATAATAACCGAATACTCTTCTATTGCAAAACCATGGAAAGCTTCAGTGATAAAAGACAAATGTCATTTGTTTTAACATGATAGAGTTTTAGCTGTAGAAATGTAGCTCTCTCTTTTTATCTGTACAAATTTTCTCAAGCAAAGGGCTACGATTCTGCAGTAGCTTGAGAATATGTATAAGTAGCATTCCTTAAATATGCTGTAAATAGTAATTTTTAATTAAAATAATTCAGTCAAAAATATGTGTTACTACCAAAACCAGGAATATGTTCCTCTGCTGTTAAGCCTGTGAAGATTGATACCATTTGTTTCTGGACAAACTCTTCGAGTTTTAGTAAGTTGGACAAGTTCATAACAGCACTGTTTGGCTAAAAATATTAATTAAATTAAATAATCCAAGTACAGAACCGTCTGACATTCAATTACTTTCTTTCATTTCTATAAAAAAAAAAAACGGGGGATAATTTATTTCAATATGAGAAATTTTTATTCTGTGTTCAGATGAAATTGAATAAAACACATTCTTTTCTTAATGTGTAGATTCCTATATTTAAACATTCGTACACTTATCTTTTCTTGATCTTCGATTTGGATTTGGTCTTTTTCAGTAGACTCTGTTGATGCGGTTCCAAGCAATATAATATCGTTTCCGTTTTTAGTGTTCTCCATCGTTGTGTAAACATCTTTTGCGTCTCTCACAATCTTTGATACTCCCACATTTTTATTCCCGTATAGAATCCATGTATCTGAACGGACAAGAAATACTTTTGCACATATGATCTGATTTTATTTTTACTTATCAAATACAAGAGAGAAAAAAATGATGGTAAAATGACAACTGAACTTGAATGAAAAATATCACCCTTTTTCACAATTTTCTACCAAATTCACTTATTTGTGTACATTTCAAAGTCTCTTAAATCTTTTTATGACATAAGTTATAATACCCAAGCTTCTGTGTTTTCATCATGATCAAGAAACATATTGGTTCGATCAGTAGACTTTTCCCAAAAACTTTTAATCTTTGAAGTCAAAACGTTGATAATTTAGCAGCAAAATTATGTCGGGATTAAACCTTGAAGAAAAATGACAACTTCGAGGGGAGCTCCATCAGTTTTTGCCGCTAGCAATATTATTATGAAGATTAAATCAGAGTATCTCGAGAAATTATGACAAATAATTTTTGCGCGTGACAGTAATATTTTTTAGCTTCATAGACTTTTAAATCGAATATTTTCTATGTTAAGGTTTATGTTATTTATATCGGGTAAAACCTGAATTGGAAACTTAAGTCCAACGCTTAATGATTTCAATTTTCCGATACGAAACATTGTTAGCAGGTAGAATCTGCTTTGAAAATCGAATTTTCAAACGCGGTAAAACACAACCTTAGTTAAACATTTTCTTTTAAAAATGTTAAAATACAAGTACTCGATCTCCAAAGGATCTGCCAGCAATAGGAAATTGATTTGCCTACGGATATCTCTGTTTTCCAGGTCAGGATTAAAAGCAAAAGATAGTTGTAGATGCAGGATTTGAGAGCCACGGAGTAAGAGTTAATCCTTACGACGCGGGTCACATCTCACTGTGGGACGTTGACCATGTCCTTCGGATAAGACCATATGAGCCGAGGTCCCGTTTAATGACAATTGCTCAAACTCAATGATCTTTTACTATAAAAATGCTGTCTTTAACTGTCGCAACATAAAGTAAAATTTACTGTGATACTTTTGCACTATATAGATGTACTGTGGACACACATTTTGGTTCGTTTAGGAGCAGTGTGCGGTGACAGGTAAAATTTCAGTGGTTCGTGGGGGAGAAATTTTTGTTGCGAACAAGCAAAACAGGGTTCAAGGTATAAACAAGTTGTCCATGAGGAAGTTTATTCGTGAATAAGGGTGGCCTACAAAATCAAGGAACATCCCCCCAATCCTTATGCAAAGGAAATCTGACACAAACCTCCTCCACTACTCTTGTGCGTCTCAATCAGCGCGGTCTGGAAGACTGACTTTGGCCAGGCCCTGGGGACGAAGCTGTCCGAGTCACCGATAACCGACAAAACCAATTTAGGAGTCCCGAACTCCTTAATCAGAGATTCCCAAATCTTTCCTGAGGTGTCTTCTTTGTCACTTTCATCCATTATGCAAATTTTAGAACAATCTACAAAGTGTTAATAATGGTGTTGTTGGAGCGAAAGAAGTTGAATGACAAATTACTTAATCATTATTTCAAGTTATATTAACATTGAGTTATATAATATATACATTGATTGTGTACAGCTCCTCACTGCAAACACTACCAATAACGCTTGAGCCAAGAGAAAATTCGGACTTAAAACATTCATCTAACTTTTTTCTGTGGTCCAGTCGACCGCGTGACGCAGTGGTTAGAGCGTCTGATCTAGAGTCAGGTAGTAAAGAGTTGATCCTTAGGTCGCGGGCTCGAATCTCGGTACGGGAAGTGGAGAACGGTCCTTCAATTATTGAAACCTTTTAAGCCATGGTCCCGTTTTGCAGTAGACACCTCTATGTTCAATGGCCGTAAGCTCCAAGAATACATTTAAAAAACGGTATTTTACTCCAGCCTTTAGTTGAACCCTTTCTTTTCAAAAAAAAGTTGTGTCACTTTTGAAGGGAAACACCCATAGAATCCTTAAAGTAGCCGTTATCGTTTTCTGGTTAGTAACTTTGTCATCTGACTGGAAAAATTATATGCATTTTGTAGATAATGGTTGCCTCAAGATGGGGCTATGCATATAGAAAGTAAAAAAAATTAAACACTGAGGATTTTTTTTGGAGCACGTCCAATGTTTAGTAGCAAATAAAGGAGAGATGTCACTTCTTTTCCCTTTTGACCGACCCCGCAAAAGTACATTACTATTGCAAAGTGTGGACTGAACTATTACAAAGTGTGGATTTGATTCCAAGTCAATTTTCAATTGAAAACATATTTGAATTATTTTTTTTATCTTCATTAAGATATTTATTTTCATTTTAAAACATAACTTGTTTGAGCAAAGAGAGATGATTAAAATTGGCAACTTTTTATAAACTGAAATCAAGTAGATAAATAGTAAATCAACAGTTAATTAAAATTAGCATGTTCAGACTTCGTTTTGGTAATGCAGGAATGTCAATGACGTCAGAGTCAAGACCTAGCTTCACGGGCAGTTTGACAAGCTCGATCTAAATAAAAACTGAAAAGTATCTGCTCTCGCCCTAATGGTCGAACCGTCAACAATTGAAAACGATTCAACAAATCAAAATTTAAATTTAGCTTTAATTTGGAGTGATACTTACATACTTATGGAATAACTGCAAAAATAAATATCATTGTGAATATAAATAAAGTACTAGTACATGCATTGTGTATATAATGAAATGGTCTGACATCTATATATTAACGTTTCTTCAATAATCAAATAAACCTTTTTAAATATTTAATCCTCGTATACAATAAATTATTTTCCCTTACCTTTAATGCAGAAAATTTCAATTACATACCCTACCAATAATTTACACAATTGAAATGAATATTTAAAAATTTTTGAACGATCTAATCTTTAGAAATTGTCTTGAAAAACTAAAAGAATTGCGTCAACGCATTTAAAATTCTAAAAAAGAGCTGTTGCAGATTGTTACACTTGTTTGAGGCTTATATTTGAGAACTAAATCGACATGTTCGTCCTTCAGGGTTTTAAATGTTCAATAAGAAAATATCGCTATAGAAATCCATTGCCTGCCCTTTGAATAAAATGCATTTAAATTTAGATGACAAAAACATTTCACGCAACATTATCATTGTAATCAATGTTTACTTAACTATCATAATCAGAGTTCGGCTTCATTTTGTTGTGATTTTTTCAGACATATACAGTAGACTTGTTTATTCAAAATTTAATTGATTTATCTACCATAATCAATTACATATATACGAATATTTTCAATAATTTACACTGTCAATTACAGTGTACAGAAATATTAAGGGATGATAAGCACAACAAATAAGTTATTTTATAAAACTGAATATGGTTACCCGCGCGGCGCAGTTGTAAGAGCGTCTGCTAGAGTCACAAAGAACAGGAGTCGCCCGCGTGGTGCAGTGGTTAGAGCGTCTGCTCTACAGTCGCGAAGTAAGGAGTCAATCCTTACGTCGTGGGTTCGAATCCCACTGTGGGACGTGGAGACCGGTCCTTCGGATGAGACCGTATAAACCGAGGCCCCGTGTCGAAGTAGGTGCTGGCACGAAAAAGATCCCTCACTGCTCAAAGGCCCTGAGTGCCGAGCATAGGACAAAATTTGTAGCCCTCCACCGGTGGCGTCTCCATATGAGTGAAATATTCTCGAGAGGGACGTTAAACAACATACAATCAATCACAAAGAACAGGTGTAAGGAGTCCATCCTTACGCCGCGGGTTCAAATCCTACTGTTAGACGTGGAGACCGGTCCTTCGGATGAGACCGTGTAAACCTAGGTCACTGTTAGCAGTAGGTGCTGGCACGATAAAGATTTTTTCAATGGCCTTGATTACCGAATATACGACAACATTTGTAGCTTTCCAACGGTAAGTAGTTTTATACGAGTGGAAATTTTTGAGAGGGATGTCAAACAATATACAATCAATCTTAAAATGAATTTTCATTTGCAATTGTACCTAAAAATATATTTTTAAGATAACTATTTTATTCGAGGACATACAGTTAAAAGGGTGACAATAACAAATCATGACCGGTCTAAGGAAAAATTGATATTCATAAAGATTACCAATTTAAACAGCATACACACGGTTTTATAGCAACGACAAAAAAAACATTTTTTTTTATATTTTGTTGGTTACTGTATCACATCTATCAAAATATCATCTTATTTAAGTTGATTCGCCCTTGCATTGCATGAAGTGGAGAAATGAGCAATTAAGATTTTTGTATGTTTGGTAGTAACTTGTTAGTTTAACGTCCTTTTCGAAGTAAGAAAAAATAATGTAGAACAATTCCAAAAAAAAAAAAAAATTAATCAATTTCCAAATTTCTACCGTACTGTAGAGCAGTAGATGTTAAATACATTGTAACAACCTGTTTGAAGGATCGATTGGAACATACTTATACATGTACTATGCAAGGGTCCACGTAATGAAGAAGTGCAATTACTAGCTCCGCCTACTGGGCTAATTGTATTCGGCGCGTCGGCGCGCCAGCGCGTCCATCTTATCCCAATATCACAAAAGTATTTTCTCCATACATCAAAACATTCAAATGACTGCGATTTTCTTTATAATTTAAGCGTTATCGCTTATTTTCAAGTCAAAAGCCAGAGCCCGATTGCATTCTTATGTTAGGTGGATCAAAAAAAAATTCTCTAGGAGGTGGTGGCTCAAGTCGCAAGGTAAGTGGTCCAAGGCATAGCTTAAGTAATTTTACTATGCCAGTTTAAATAAATTTGAATTTTCCAGGGAGCCGGATCCCCTTTAATTAACGCATGCCTTACCACAATTTGTGCAATCTCGAGTAATCCAAAATTTACCCGAATTTAGGAATTGGTCTCTCTCTCCACCTCCCTCGCGTATATTTATAATATCTACCTACTTTAACCATAGCATTTAAAAATATTGAGTGCTGTGGTTTTAATAAATTTATTTGATATGTTTAACACATATGCCTGGGAACCGGGGAGGGGGCTTACACAGATAGACATCATATTAAACATTGGGGCGTAGGTTTAGCCCCCACTTTCAACAGGCACGTTGCAGTGTTGTCTAAGAAGGGTAACTAAGTGTAGTAACTGTAGTGTTTGACAGAACAAAAATCGGTTTTGAAGGAAGCTCGACCCCCCCCCCCCTCGAAATAGGATTTTTGTGTTTGAACAAAAGATACATCCCCCTTTTTTTGGCTTGTTAAGATTTTTCAGATTCGATCTTTTTTTTCACTTACCCCCCCCCCCCCCCTCTATCAATTTGCTTCCGACGCCAATGGATCAAATTAAAATTTACCAGTATTACGTTATAACCCTAGAGTTTAATCCCCTTTTTAAAGACTTGATTTTTATGGCTATAAGCTGCCATACATTGGTGTCAATGTTTAAAAAATATTCCTTGTTACGTTTCAAGATAATAGTACTACTAAGAATTAACTTGTCTTTGTTAGAGGTCTGAGGATGGGGAGAAACTTTAGTTACAGAAATGACTTTGCTATCAATAGCCCTTTTAAACAAACTTTGAGTCAGAAAAATACCTTGTTAATTTATTGAAAAAATCGAACAGAGAAAAAGTGTTACACTTTTTGGCATATTTATATTCTAAGGTTATGGTGAGATCAAAACAAACCTTACCTTTTTGACTCTGTATAATCGTGTCATTTTCTTTTTTTTTTATACAGAATTTAATTCTAACTATCTTTCTCATGGAGCATAAATGATCATGAACATAACTTGAACAAGTTGTGAACAACGTGTGAAACATTAAATTTAATTGAAACCGTCAAAATCAACACCTATCAGTACTTTGTTCAGTACTTTGATAAGTAAAGGATATCGAGCCCGATGCTGTATAAGCGATAAATTTATTAAACAAAATCTGTTGCGCGAGCGCGCCGACGCGCCGAATACAATTAGCCGCCTACTGCAACTTGATTTGTACAGCGGTTTTTCAAGTTCCTCTTCACCCGTTGTCTACGTAGACCTACAAGTAAGAGCCTATATCCCCACGCTTCTTTGTATAACTGGAACTCTAACATCCGCTTGAAATTTTCGGTGTATAATGCATATAAAATGCACAAGAAACAATAAAATCTATTTTATTCAGAATGCATTATTGTTAATTAATCAAACTCGTAATTATTTCAATTTTTCATCAGATGTATTTTCAATTTGACTTACTTAATTTTTGCATACTTCTATTCAGAAAACTGCGTAAATGTGTGTGTGTGTGTGTGTGTGTAAGTCTGTCCGTTACAGCTTGTGGGCAAGATTTAAAGAAAACCTTTTGAATATCAGGTGCCCCATACTTACATGTTTATGGCATTGTAAGAAGATGAAACCTTTTCATTTTCAAATTAGGGGTGAAATATTTCTTAAAATATTGCATTTTTACTAACCTTCAAATCCTAAAAATTTTAGGATGATTAACAATACTAATTTCCGCTAATTCGGGTTGCTTCGAAAGACTGA